TTGGGGCACCCCAATGGTGCGGCCGATGCTTTAGATCGCTCGCACGCGCGCTAGGTCTTCGATTCCGCCGAGCCACCGTAGGTCACCACCACCGGCGATGTTGCAGCTCCCTGCTCCGGCCATCTCCGGTCGGTCCAGAGGCACCACTCGATGCGCGGCAGCCTCAGCTTTCAAACACAAGTAGAACCACGCGTTTTGGTGCACCAGGGCGAAAACCCAAGCTGCTCCAGCGTTCGGCCGCCGCGTTTTGGCTCGCCGGAGCCATCTCCGGCGCGTCTCTGGCCGACGCCGACGTGGCACAGTGGGCCCCGCCCCTAGGTCGCTGAGCAGTGGGCCCGGGTGGCCCAGTTGACCGGGTTGACCCAGTCAACTACTGACTGGGCTGCCCAGTGAGGCTGACATGTGGCCCCCACTTGTTTAAAACGTTTTATACATAAATAAATCTGTTAATTAGTTTTAATTGTTAGTTAGTCGCTGACACCAGGGGCCCAGCCCTCTAATTAGCCTGTTAAATTAGTTTAATCCACTGTTAAGCTAACAGAGGCTGACATGTGGGTCCGAGTGGCCCCACTGGTCAGGTTTGACCTGGTCAGCCGCTCTTTTGACTCCTGATGTCATCAACATTTCATGCTGACATCATATTCCATTTCTATTAATTTAATTAATTCTGGAAAATTTTAAATCTTTAGAAAATCATAGAAATTAATCCGTAACTCGGATGAAAAATGTTTTCTACATGAAAGTTGCTCAGAAAAATCCAACGAATCCAAATACGCGGTCCTTTCATCTGTCACATGCCCCTAGCATGCTGAACATGGAACCGTTCCCCCTCTTCCACCTATCCGGAATTCGTCTAACGCCGGGGATTCATCCTCGGATGTTTATCCCCTCCATGTGCAACGTGTAGTACTACATTAGGACAAACCTAGCTCTGCCTATCATCATGTAATGCTTAGTGATGCATCTGTTTGCTTTGTATTTACTGTTCTTCCCCCTCTTCTCTTAGGTAGACCCCGAGACCGATGCCGCCCCTGTGATCGACTACGTCTCTGACGAGCCTTCTTCCTTTTCAACAGAGCTTCTAGGCAAGCAAACCCTCCTTGAGCATTCCGATATCGCCCATTTCTTTCCCTCTCATGCTTGCATTAGAACTGCTACTGCTTTCTGTATGATCCTACTCTGATGCATAGCTTGTTTTTGTTACCTGCTTTCATACCTTACCTGCTTATCCTAAACTGCTTAGTATAGGTTGGTTAGAGATCCATCAGTGACCCCACCTTGTCCCAGATGCCTTGCTTTATGTTTGATGACTCGATCAATGTGATCGACGTCCAGGCTCCGACACCACACATCATCCTCCCTTAGTTGTACAACTCTGTAGAGTTACCATCGAGTGCCGAGGGTGGAACCACTTACATCACTCCTGATGAGATCTCTGTAGTGTAGCTATACGGTCGAGGTCATCGAGGGTGATTTCCACCTTAACCACTTCCGTGACGGCTCTGTTGTGCAACCCCTCAAGTGTGAACCTCGAGGGTGGATCCTCTTACGTTCACCCTGATGATAACATCGAGTGGAATTCACCGGGGGTGATTCCTCGGGTTTCCCCCCTTGGTGTTAGACACACAGTTACTATGGTTACTATGACTTTACACTGAGCCATGTTACTAAAGACGGGTCGGCCCTGAGGGGTACCCGTGCGAGCTTAATAGCGAGTGATGTGGAGTCGGGTTGACCTGGAAGGTGCCCGCGAGATACTTACGAGGCGTGGCCGGGCATTCTTAGCCCTTGCCGCAAGTACTCGAGACGGGGCGACGGGGTCACATCTTTCGTGAGTCTCTGCTCATGACCGCACTGCCAATGCAATAACGGTTTGGATATTTGATCCGAGGGGCCTCTGGCCTGATAGCACTAACCATCACGTGGGCATTGTATGGGCGTTCTGCATCGTATGCATCAGCCGAAGCTTATTAGACGTCAGCGACTAAGCGGCGCGCGCCAGGTTGGACTGGTAAGCTCCTGGCTTTTTAAGGTGGTAGCTAGGTCTGCTCACCGGCCGCCCACGCAACATGTAGGAGTTCCTGGGGCGATGGCCAAGACCCCTGGGGGCATAGGTTTAGTCCGACATGCTGGCCTCTCTATTAAGCCTAGGTCGGGTTGCGGCGTATTGTTTGGCCGAGGCCGGGCATGACCCAGGAAAGTGTGTTCGGTCGGAGTTAATCAAGCGTGGTGGGTAAGTTGGTGCATCCCTGCAGGGAAGAAAACATCTATCGATAGCCTGTCCTATGGTAACGGACACTTGGAGTTGTATCCCGATCGATACAACTAGAACTGGATACTTGAGATGAGAAATGGATAGTATGGCTCTGGGATTGCTTTCTCGCAAGGAGTCGAGAAAGGATCTCTAGCCGAGGTTGATAACACTACTACTTTACATTATGTTGATCTGTACTCTTCTATATGCTGCAAGATGCTTGAAGATGCCTGAAGATGCTAGTCTTCGATAGGCTAGGTTTTCCCCTTCTCTTTTGGCATTCTGCAGTTTAGTCCACAGATACAACCCATTTTCTTTGATACAAATGCATGCTTAGTTTAGATCTGATGTAAGTCTTGCGAGTACTTTGGATGAGTACTCACGGTTCCTTTGCTACCTCTTTTTCTCCCATACTCGATTATTGCGACCAAATGACGGATCCCGGGAGCCAGGCGACACCACTGATGACTACTACTACCCCGAGGGTGCCTACTACTACGTGAAGACCGCCGACGACCAGGAGTAGTTAGGAGGCTCCCAGGCAGGAGGCCTTGCCTTTTCGATCGATGTTGTTTTTGTGCTAGCCTTCTTAAGGCAAACTTGTTTAACTCATGTCCGTACTTAGATATTGTTGCTTCCGCTGACTCTTGTGTATTCAGGCTTATGTATTCGAGCCCTCGAGGCCCCTAGCTTGTAATATAAAGCTTGTATTATTTTAATTTATGTCTAGATTTGTGTTGTGATATCTTCCCGTGAGTCCTTGATCTTGATCGTACACATTTACGTGTATGATTAGTGTACGATTGAATCAGGGGCGTCATAGGCCCACCGAGTCAGCGACCCCCATCTCGGTTTCCCGCGGGAAATCAATGCCAAGGCCGCCGCCAGTCAGCCTTCCATTGATTCCTCATGGGCGGCGCAACAACGCCCCCTCCCGCCACGCATACACACGGCGCCCACCCTCGGCCGCTATAAAGTAGCGCCTCCCCTCGCTTGTGGCCACACCCCGCCCACAGCCGCCGAGCTCTTCCTCTCTCTCCCCGTGCGTAACCGTCGCCGATGCTCCTCCCCTCTCTCCCCATGCCCAGCCGCCACGATGGGCGAGAGGTTCCCTAGCGATGGGGCGGTGGCCAATGCCTTCGGCAGCCACTCGTTCCACAAGTGGGAAGCCCACTTGGTGTTCTAGGCCAACGTCCCGACGCCTCCCGACATGCGCGCCCCGGGGCGGTGGAAGCTCAGCGCCGGTGGCGTCCCCATCCCCTCGCTGCCCGACGTCACCACGCGCGCCGACTACTTCGCCGACGAGGTCGACCGCGTGCGGGCGTCGCTGACGGAGGAGCAGCGGGCCCTCCCGCAGTACGCCGCCGGCAACCACGAGGTGTGGGTAGCTTACTTCCAGCGCCGGCAGGTGCAGCGGCTGGCCTCCACCAACAACGCGTTAGGGGTGCGAGGGACCAAGAACAGCGACGACCGCCGCCTGTGGTGTGGCACCCCCGGCCGCACGCTCCACGCCGTCCTCCAGCATCTCGAGGGCGGCAACGAGCCGCCGTTGACGTACCCTGCCGCCCCGGTCCCCCGCCGGAGCGGCGGCCAATCGATGCCGAGGAGGGCTGGCTCCTCCTCTTCCTCCTCCCGCTCCTTCTCTCACTCCTCCGGGTCGACGGCGCTGTTCAGCGTCAAGGCCAAGGCCGAGCCCGAGCCCGCAATGACGCCGCTCGACCGGCGCACCCGCAACGCCGGCATCGTCATCAATGAGGGCGGGCGTGCCTCCTCCTCGGCTCCTCCCCGCGTCGTCAAGCCGAAGACGGAGTCGGGTCTCGCCGCCGTGAAGACGAAGCCATGGCTCGCTGCCGTGAAGACGGAGCTCGACGACACGTCGGCCTTGAAGTGGGCGCGGACGGAGCTGGAGCGCCAACGCCTCGCCAGTTCGTCGCTCGGCGCCGTGGCCGCGACGAGGGAGGCGTCATTGTCCTCGACAACAACAACGACGACGACGCGCCTCCACCGGTCCGCCGGGGCGACCCCGGGCAGGGGTCCAGCAAGGGCGGCCGCGTGAAGGAGGAGAAGGACGACGAGGACAACGACGGCGACAGCGACGGTGGCGACTTCGCCTCTCTCAGCGTGTTATTCGGCCCGTAGTCGCGGCCTCTTGTGTATTTTTTTCTAAGTATTTTATCTATGTAAAAAGCTATTTCAGTTCGCCGGAGTATTACTGTTTCGCCGAATATTTTGTCCTATTTGCCGAATTTTAGTCGAATTAATATTCAAAAAAGTTTAAAACAGGCGCACGGGGCCGACCTGGGGGCGTCGGCTGGGAACCCAATTACCCTGTGGCCGATTTTAGCGCCGGTTCGCCACCAGGCGGCGATTTTTGGAGCCACCTGGACCAACGGCTGGAGATGCTTTAACTCCGGACGTGTTCGCAGGCTCTAAAATGACAAATATTTAGGAAGAGAGAGAGTACTACCTATTGTGGCTAGTATTAAACCGCCGGGCCTCTGCATTAAACACCCGCCTCTCTCTCTTTCCTCGGGACCTCCGCCACGCGCCGCAGCCGTCGGAGAGAAAAAAACGCTTACAAAAGCACCGCGAATCTCAAGGTGGGAAATCCGCCAATCCAATCGGACGAAAGAAAAGAGAAAATTCCCACCACCGACCGCGTCACTCACGCGCGCGCACGCGCACCCGCGCTGAAAACGGCCCACCGCCCACGCGCCCCGCGGCCAGCCGACGCGTCCTCGCGCGCATGCCGCCGCCCAGCCTGACCGCCGCGAACGACCGGGTCGCCGCCACCGCCTCCGCCGCGAACGGCCACGCGGGGCCGGACGCGCGCCGCCGCGCGGGCAAGGGCAAGAAGGTCCACCCGCTGCCGGCCGACGGCGCCGCGATGGGGGACGGCGCTGGCGGCGAGAGGCTGGCGGGCGGGAGGAGGCCGATGGACTGGCTGTCGCCGTCCGGGGTGGCCGGCATCCTGCGGCGGCACCCGCTGCCGGCGCTGTTCGCGTGCGGGCTGCTGCTCTTCATGGGCGTGGAGTACACCATCCCCATGGTCCCCGCCGCCGCGCCGCCGCTCGACCTCGGCTTCCACGCCACCGCCGCCATGCACGCCGGGATCGCCGCCCGCCCCTGGCTCAACTCGCTCCTCGCTGCGCTCAACACGGTGAGCGCACTTCCCTGCCATGCCTAGATCTGATCGGCGAATGAACCTAGCTCCTGCCGATCTGCCCATCTGCTCCACCAGCAATTTTTCCCCTTTTGCTTTTTGACCTCTTGATGTTACCCTCTCATCGACCAAACGTGAAGGCAACCAGCGCTTTCCGTTGAGCAGAACAGGCTACATTGTAGCCACGCACACCAGAAAGTGGAAACTGAACAGGCTCACGAATTTCACGTAACCATTTGTCTTTTCGTGCAGAGTTTGCTCTCCTTTTCGTATTTTGTAGATGCAATTTGTCTCACATTTTACACGAACATACCATTGCCACCTCCTGCATCTAAATTTTCCGTAGAACTTTCACACCCGCTGTCGGCGGAGCAGTTTAATCCCAGTTTGAACTAGTACACTCCTATTTATACAATTGATAAAAAATTTAATACGCATCGGTGGCAGTTGCACATCAACATCTCTTGCTTTAATTATAGGAATGATGATGTCTAGGCTCTGGTATTGTGACAACAAGTGAATCTTTGTGAATTGTTTCCTCGCTCCGGGTGGTGAGGGAAGCAAAACTAGCTGGTAGCCATAAAGCAAAGGACCAAGAAACTGATGAATGGTGTTGGGTGAGCTAGCTCACCCTAAAACCACTACCATCCAACTTTTCGGATAAGATCAAGAATATCATCGTCATGCATTCTCCACATACCCATGGATTTCCTGATAAGATACTGCATCTGGCTAGATAGCTACCCGGTCCCCGCTCCAATTGCCACTAGTTGCTAGTGTTGCCATGACGGAATCCATGCTGAATGTGACATGCGACCCTCTCATGTGCAGGTGTTCGTCGCGATGCAGGCCGCATACATCCTGTGGGCCGTCCTCGCCGAGCAGCGGCCGCGTGCCGCCATCGCCACGCTCATGATGTTCACCTGCCGTGGCCTGCTCGGGTGCTCCACGCAGCTGCCCCTGCCGGCGGAGTTCCTGGGCTCCGGGATGGACTTCCCCGTGGGGAACGTGTCCTTTTTCCTCTTCTATTCTGGGCACGTCGCCGGAGCGGTGATCGCGTCCATCGACATGCGCCGCGTGGGACGGCGCAGGCTGGCGGTGCTCTACGACACGCTCAACCTGCTGCAGTTCGTCAGGCTGCTTGCGTGCAGAGGGCATTACACCATTGACCTGGCCGTCGGTGTCGGCGCTGGTCTCGTCTTCGACATGCTCGCCGGCTGGTACCTGGACAGCAAGAACATCGACAGCGGCGACAACCGTTGCTGCAGCAGCTGCCAGAAGGCTCTCGTCTCACAGAAGCTTACATCATAGGGCTATCAATGGCCGTGGAATTGCAGTGGACTGGACGATCCAAGTCATTTTTTAGAATGCTACTTACTGATATGTAATTGTGTAACTGTGTTTGTCCTTTGTAAGTTAAGTTGCAACATCTTCTGAAATGCAAGTATCAGAAGCTTAAAGTACATCACAAGACAGGAATCAGCACAGGAACCAAGCTGGGAAGTGGCAACAGATGGCAAAGGTCAAGATGCACCATTTATTTCTGATTGAAGGATGGTACTCTCAAGATTATTTTTGCATCCATGTTACAGGATGATTTACTCCTAGCTTAGAGGACATACATATGACAGCACATTGCCAAAGTATACAACAGGTGAATAGGTGGTTATTTCTATCTAGTATACATCGGTTGCTTCTTCTACCTCAGTCTTGCACCATGGAACTGGTCACCCCACAAACAACAGCAGGCTGGTCAAGCAAACATCGCAAACACCGAAATGGATCATCAGTTTCATCACAGCAACACACATCTGTCGTGCCACACCGCTGACATCACGGACACCGTTATTTTTGGTCGCCATCGGCAGACCCATTCTGTTCACCGAGCTTGTGAAACTCGGCCTGGATGACCTCCACAATCATGGCGTCATCGGGGTCTTGATCGGGGATGTCTACGTGCAAAGAACCCTGCTTGATGAGTTCCTGATTCAGCGCCTGCTGCTCGATGTAATGGTAGAGCTCTTGGTGGAAAGGGTGGTCGAGCGAGAAGCAGTCATCGATGCTGCTCAACGAAGCTTTTGATGAACCCTCTCGTCGACAGAAATGGGGGATGGAGGAATGGTCCATAATCTGCATAGTCCAAATAAATGGTCCATGGAGGTCTCATTCTCTTATCTCTCTTGCTTAATTAGAGTGCAGTAATGTCTTGATGAGCAACGAGTGATGAAAATAGCACTAGCAAGTAATCTTACCTTTAGGAGCTCATCTTTCCCACGACCACTCAAAACATGAACCTTCTTTCTTGTCCTCTCTTGCAGTAGAGGTTTCACAACCTAGTAACAAAATTAAATTACTATTGGGTCTTCAAAACAAAAATTACTAAATTACTGGTACAATGAAAAATCTTAGGCATCAATACCTTCCAACACGCTGAGAATATATATGGAGCATTCACAATATAATAGGTCTCGGCCTTTTCAGGGTAATTCAGTTCATCGACAGCAGATATTGCAGTCAAAATCTGCAATCCAACAACAGATAGCATCATAAATATGGACTAGCGTACACAACATGCAGATCTTATGCAAATATTTAGCTTTCTAAAAAAACGGTTCTTGTCCCTGTCACCTTTGGATGTCATAAACACCCATGTATTTTCCACTTCTGTATGTAGCCATAAAAGCGTAAAAATATGACATGTTCATGCAGGTCATACCTTCAATAGGCTCAGTGCTGACAACTTCAGACCAGTCATATCAAGAACCTTTATACAGGTGGTTATAGGTCGTCTAAACTTCTTCGTCGCCATGGGCTATGGAACATAAGCAAGGAAAGCAGGTGTTATTCAGTCTCAAATGAACTAGATGATCTTGGCCATGTAAAGATTAGTTGCACACTCACCAGAATAATACGATCACGGTACTCATTGATCTGAATATGAGATTGCACATAGTAATGGACCTGAAAATGCAACATACTATCATTCTAAAGCACATAAAGAACGACAGATTGAATCTTCATGCCTATAATCCAGTAGAAATACATTTCCAATTCCATTAATATTGCAATTTGATAATTATCTTTAATTGACATGGATGCAAGCTGACAAACTAAACACTCATCAGAACTGTATTCACAGGGAGAAAGTGAAAACATCTGATTTGCAAAAGAAGTATATGGTCAATTACCGAAGCTTTGTCATATGTGCTCTGTCCAACACCAAAGGCAAACACTGGGACGCCCTGGCAAATGCAAAGGAAAATTAGAGTATTAAATAATTTGAAGGTTATCTATAGTACAATTAATTATGGTCTGAACACGATTACTTGTATCTCATAAAGACCCACAATTACCAAGGTAGTGTTTTCATAGAGACCTATAGTTTCAGAATGCAAAATCGTGTCATCAGGGGTTTAAGACGCCAATCTCCCAAACATTTTCTGATCAAAGAAGTTCAAATCTGGACCCTTTCTCAAATTTGTTACCGCTGATTGTTCGATATACATATCCTTTACTAGTGCAATAGACATATCTTATGTTTTTGAAGGTGAACGTATCTTATGCTATCCGTCAGAAACTTATCTGCAACGGATAATTCAAGGGTATAGCAGTATCAAAAGACAGCCATATAAATAAGTAGTGGTGCACAGCATTGGAAGTAGGGACCAAATAGCTACATCAGGTTTAGCTATGTCGAACGTTGCATGTTAGGAAACACATTATGATGAAACAAGTTCTAGAAAAGTGAAAGGATAGGACCCAACAATGGAAGGAAATAAAAGATAATTGGCTTAAGAAAGCTATATACCTCCTTTGAGTATCCCGATAACCCAACAAGCTGTGATTCTCGTATCGATCTATACAAGTCTACTGGGGTTATAGGTTTCTGCAATTGTCCAACACATGCAGATGATCAATAACAAGAAAAAGTAAACAGAAAAATCGACTTAACTGGCTTAAGACAGGCAAGAGTGTCTCAGAAGAATGGTTGCTCACCTCCAGTATACTGTCAATTTCATTTTGTATCCTCCAATTCAAACAATCCACAAGCTAGCAAAAACAAAACATACTTAATCAGTGAAGTTATCCATGGAACATTTACTTCAGCATTAATCACGTAGGGGAAAATATAAGCCAAGACCTTACCATTTTATGAGCATTAGTTACATGCCACTCTCTAGCTTTAAGGAAGCGCACTAGTGTCTCTGATGGACATCCCTGGTGCACATTCTGGAAAGAGAAATTCGTGTAATTGAGAACTCAACTCCCATCAAAAGCTACTTTACGATCTGTAATAGTAACAAAATCTTTGGAAAACTGAAAGAGCTGAAATGCACCAAATATGGTTTATAGTTCTCCCCAATATGGCTGTATGTAACACTCAGAATATTTTGAAATCTTTAAAGTATGGTATTCTTACACCAACTGTAGTTCTGGTAGTTTTGCCATGAAGCTAAGAGGTGCAGGTGGTATTTTCTTTGAAGGAGCTGTGGGTATTGCTCTTTTTGGCCTCTTTCTTTTCCTTAGTGTTGTGGTGCGCGATGGCTGTTTGCATCCTCAACACTATGTTCATCATGTTGTTGCAGAGGTCAGGTTTACTTTATTTGTATCAGCTGGATGCATTAATAAAATTGTCCGCTTTGGAAAAAAAGTGGTTCCTCCAGTCCTCCCGATATGGTAGTATGTAACACTGAGCTTAATTTGAAATCCAAAACATTGTGTTATTTTCATATTGTTGTAAGCACTTGTAGTCATTATTATTGTTTACATATGATAGTATCCCGATAATAGCAGGATCACATCAAGTGTTCCTAAAATTAGAAGGGGAACTTTGCAAACAGAGTAAGCAGACATGATCAGATGCTAGTTCAATCATAGAAGACGGGATTCCAGATGTAAGTGGCAGGTATATGCTTATCTTGACTTTCTTTTATCCTTTTTTCCATGGCAGAATCTTATGCTATAAAAGTCAGGTTTTGTTATGGCAGAAGGAATATAGAATCTTAGCCCTTAAAAGTCGGGTTTCGTTATCAGTGAAAGAATCAATATTCGTTTCCCATACAAGCCCCAGAAATAGACTATGCATAGTGCGCATTCATGGTACGATGAGCAATTATAGATCTTCCACAAGTATGAAAATATAAACATAACGAATTCGCATGCATTGGCTACTTTGAAAAGCCAGATATATTCTCTGAGACCGGAATTGGCTCATTTCCCCTATAAAAGAACTTGGGTGCTTATATTACTTGGTAGTAGTTCCATGTGCTAGTACTTTGCCTGCCTAATGGAGAATTTCAGCACAATAATTATGCTGCAAGTAGCACTGTCCATCTTGATTCCAGCTCCACTAGATAAGAGATTCTGCTCCGGAATAAGTTGACATCTCCTACTGATCAGCACTCAGGGCGTGCAAAAGCCTTGGTCTCAGGGAGCATTTCAGTAACCACAAAGCATAGAAAATGCAAGCAATTTTCTGGGATAGGATGTGTAGCAACCTGAGACCAGTGCCACCATACTAGCAGACTAAAAAGCGCGGAAATGAAATTATGCCGGAGAACTTGGAGCCTCTGCTAGAGGAATCTGTACTGGCCAGATCCCAGACGGCAAGGAAATTTTAGTGAGGAATACACTGTTACCAACTAATTGGGAGACTCGATGCCCCCAATAAAAGATCAGGAGGCTTCGAGTGCGAACACCTCACCGTCCACTAGTTGACTCAGTGGAGGTGAGATCAGAACAATTCCATGAGAGATGAGACACACCCCTCACTTCATTGTCCAACCACTCAAAATTACCCCCCGGAGAAATCCCAAACGTGTGGCCTACACCAAAGAACAAAAGAATACCTTGCATCCACAGGCAAGCAATAGCGCGGCAACTCTCCCTACCGAAAATCTATCATATCATATCATGTATACCATATACATACAGATTGCTTATAGCAGTAGCTCATCGATATTCAGTAAACCACCCTTGATCCAGCATGTTATCAACTAAATGCTCTGTTCCAACTTGCAAACAGAAGTGGCCAGCAGACTTGGAGATTAGATAGTGACTGATATCAACCAACCATCTATCGCCAAACAAGTGGTCCTTGTTTTTGACCTTCCCCTACTTTTCGGCAAGATGAGAAATTGTTTTTTGTTCAATATAAACAATGTAATAAGTAATATTATGATGCAGAGGCCGGCGATAATGAAAGTTTCCGTCATCTAAAAATCCATCTTCCCTGATCCATTTGAACCGAGATTGGGTTTGCAGACCTCTGAGCTGAACTAAGTGATTGTCTACACTCTACAGTCCAAGTGAAGCAGAAAACAGAGTACTGCAAAGGCATGCATACAAAAGCTGGAGAACAGAGAGGAGGAAGATCCAGCATACCTGGAACGTCTTCTTCAGCGGCTCCTCGACTGCAGAAAACCCAGAACAAGAGGCACAAGCCAGTCAGCATTCAGCAGTCAGCACCGAGCAAACGCATGGTGTGTGTACCAAAACTCGAAACGTGGAAATGTAAGGACCGGGGGAGAAGAGAAGGGGTGAAGGGCCGCTCTTGCGCTAACCTTGGTCGAGGAGGTGGGCGAGCTGCTGGACGGCGTCGTCGCAGGCGGCCCCCATTGCGCGCGCTCGAGGAGGCGGGAGGGGAGCCGAGCGGAGCGGGGCGGCCGATTCTACGGGGTTCTGGCGCGGATTCAGGCTTCAGAGGGAAAGACGTTCAGGTTCAGGGGGCGGTGGACGAGGGGGAGGAGACGGTCTCCTCCGAGTCGTCGGTCGACCGGCTCTCGTCTTGGTCGGTGGGTCGGTTTGTCGTTGCGGGACGACTTTGGGTTGGGAGTCCGTCCACTTCAGCCGCTGCTATTATAGGCGCGCAATCCGGCGGGGATGCAGTTTTCTTTTCGTTTCTTGTTTTTTTGGGCATGCAGTTTTTTTCCTTTTAGCAGGGATTTTGGGCATGCAGTTCAGTTGGGTACGGATTCTGTCACCTCTCGCGAGTCGGATACACATCCAATTCAGAGTACTACCAGACTTTTTTTCAGTACAGACGCAAGCACTCATACATACGCGCATATACTCATCCTTATAGAGGCACACATGCACATCTATAAGCACCTCCGAGAGACTGAGGCGGCATATCGTCTTGAGATTTATGAAGTGTGCATCGCCAGAAATCCCGAAATAAATCCAGAAATAATGCGAGAATCAGGACTTAAACCTGATGGGTTGGAAATACCACTGTCCCTCTAACCATCCAACCACAGGTTGGTTTGCACTAGACTTTATATTTTGGTACGTATAGGCCAATGTGTTTTCTAATAAACGTAAATAATACACATAGGCCGATGTTTTCTTTTACAGGTAAAAAACTTTATTTCTCAAATTTATTGTCCACAAGAAGCTGAGAAAAAAATCGGATCACACTCGAAGGGAGGGATGGTATTTTCTTTTGTCTGTTTGAAGAGCTGGTCGGCAAACGACTCGGAGGAGACCATCTCCTCCCCCTTCTCCACCACCCCCTAAACCTGAACGTCTTTCCCTTCCACGTTACTATTGTTTCTTTCTCCTTCTTCATATTGACTTTTTCTATCTTTGCCAATAAATGATGAGCTATAAAAGGATTCGTTTTTTCGTGTCACAGCTGATTACTCTTTTTTTCCTTTTTAAAGAGTGGCATTCTATGTCCAGATCGAAGTACGGAGGTCAGAATAAATAGAATAATGATCAATGAAGTTGTTCGCCCCTCTGAAACCACATCTTAGCGTCCTAGAGCCAAACTCCAACTTCGGGAGTAATATAGGTCCAAGTGTTATATTTGTCTTAGTGTTATATCTTATTTCTTATTGCCGCATGCGCCTATGCTTGTAATGACTCATGTAAGACTAACAAGCCTCTCTCTAATTGCTACTCCCTCTGTCCGATGAAGAGTATACATCTAGTCATTTTAGGACACATTATGGAGTGAAGTAAAAAATGCATTTGAAAGATGCAAGCCACCATCTCTCTTCTCTTTAATTACTCAACCCCAATGAGCTAAGTGTATTTAGAAATTAAGAAGACCATGTGTAGATTGTTATTGGTCTTGATTACCGTGTGATTAGAGAGAAGTATTTATTTTCTACTTTAAAATGCATTGGAAAGATAGAAGTACACTTTTTTATGGACAAATTTTGAAACCAAACGTATACTTTTCACCGAACAGAGGGAGTATATAACAAACTGTGGGGAATCCCCACCCTCCCCTCCCGCACATCCCCCATCCTAAAAAAAGTCATATTACTTTTGTTGCATGTCCTTTTGGGCCTATTCATGGTGTGGAAATTCCTTTATATAAAACAAAAAAGAACATGATTAAAATGTCATGTACTACCGAATCTTGTAGGTCAAGAAATTTATTCTACAAGCCAGAGTCCTTTCATATAATAAAAAGTGTTCACAAGGCGATTATTTAGATTGGTGACATGAGTCATACATCTACTTATCCAACACAGTCCGTTGGTTCGGTGTAACAAACTCTGCTATTCCGAACTCCTCTTAAGTCTATTTTTTCTCAACCAGGCTTGGCCCTTTCATTAATTTCTTAATGGAAATACAATATCGTTTTGGTTCCAAACTTGTAGCAACATAATAAAAGGAGGTGGGAAAGAAGGAAGCGAGTTGGGCGGATTAGTGGGAAACCCGCTTTAAGTGTACGGGGAGAAAAACTTTACATTGTCAAAAAAGCAAGTTGGGTTAACTCTGTTTTGATTGAGATAGATGTTTGTGAGCTTTGTATCTCTCCCTGAAGTGATGTGCCGCTTCGCTTCCTCAACAAGGCTTCCAAAAAAAATCGTCATGTCTCTTTCTGTTGCGGAAAGCACGGTTAGAGCCACATGACAGTCATGTTCTAGGACCTGTCATGTTGTTGTCCGTTGAAGTGCCAATCAATGCAACCTCCTAAATACAACCCGAGAGTATTGACACTGTAGTTTTAGAACCCGGCTTTTATAACTTCTTGAAATTTCATCAAAGATCATACAGCTGAGAACTAGCGACCCCCATAGTTTGGAAAAAGTGAAGATAGCTTGAATGAGCTCGACAATCGATGCATGCAAATCGTCAAACGGGATTGCTAAATCGCAGTCGACTGAGACTTAACCAAGTTTTAGTTGATGCTATATTCGTGAGATCTTATGTAGAGATTCGTGTCAATTTTTCTTTTAATTTCCCCCTTTTCTCTTTTAGTTATGTCATTTGACTGAGACCTAACTAAACCCAATCAAAACTGTCAACTACCTATCTTTGCATGTAACCATGTCACATGCTAATTAACTTAAAATCCGACATTAACGAGTGAGTGTACATAAGAACCAAAAAGTTGCGGGTTAGGTGGCTCGCGTGCAACTCATGCTGGGCAAACTAAGCAAAGCTCGTGGAATCGAGCAAGTAACGCCATCGTATTGAATTGCGTAAAGCTAGCACGCAAGAAATTAAAGAAACCGCCCGTGTCCATTACTATTTTTTGCATTGGTTGACAGCGGCGGTCAGGTGCAAAAGTTGCCGCTCCATGGATCGTAGCTACAACCTTATTAGGGTGGTGCGCCACTACGGAAGATACTATGCTAGTATATGTGGATCGTGTGGACGCGAGTCTGCTTTATGGGAGATAGAATAGGGCTGCGTGAATATATGCCAACACATATATTCATCGCCCCATCATCCTCTTCTTTCCATGTGTTCCACACTGTTGACTCGTTGGTAGAACCGATGCCCACGACCTCGTCGGTCTTGGCGTCTTGCCGTGTCGTGGCGATGGAGCGTCACTATATTAAGTTGAGTATGGCGTGGGCAGTGGAGGAGCAGGAATCTTAGCGTGTGGGGTTAGAGATAACCTCCAATTGGTACCATCATTATGGGGTTTAGCAATTTTAGCATCTGAGCACGTGGAGCTGCCTTGGGGTTGTTGCGGTGCTCGTCGGTGCTGTTGTCGTGGTGTTTGAGTTTGAATCAAGCGAAGTTGCATCGGCAGTTTGGCACACAAAGGTGATACAATGGCATTGTGAATGTAGTGTAGTTCTAGGCTTCATGCGAATGAAGGATGTGAAGCAACTGCCGATGTGTGTTTAGTGCGGAGGAGGCACAAGTGCTACTGTAGCAAGTTTGGAGTGGAGACACAGCTTCACACGCTATATGGCACAAAAGATGATATCACTCGAGCTGTAGTCCAAATTACCTATGAATCATACTATAAATCGCATACCAAGAAAAACATGCATTATTGATCTCTAATCCCTCGTCACCGCATGTTCATCCTTTTTTTTTTGGCACAGAGAGCGTAGTAGTGGAGCGTCACAGTACACCAAGTCATTTTCCGGCTTATCCGAATAAGAGCAATTCCAATAGTTCTCCTAAAAATCTTCCTGCAAAATCATTTTTTGGCTTCCCCTAACGTTTAGGAATAGTTGGCTGGGAGTAATTTTTGTCAATTCCCATAAACTTCATCCTCTAAATCTATTTTCTATTTCATTGTTTGTTAAACAAAACAAGCTAAATGTCCTAAGGCCCGCCAGCCGGTGATACGAGTTAAGGCCACCGACGGGCAGTGACGCGGGTGGGTCGTGGCCGTTGGCGACATGAGCGGCAGGTGGTGGTGCGACTGGCGGCGTTTTCGGCGTCCCGACGTGGCAGCGCATCGGTGTCCCGGCATAGCGGCATTCCGGCGAGGTTTCGCTGGGGCGGCGGCGTTTCAAGAACATCGCACGGTAGTTTCAGGCAGTTGCAACCCCGCCAAAAAGATAATCTTTCAAGGAGAAAATGCCACTTTTACGGGATTATCTAAAGTTTAGGCCAGTTTACAAGATCTGTTGGAGAGATTCTTTTGCCCCAACTTCTTGTAAATGACAGTTATTTTAGAGATAAAGGAACTATTGGAGTCTTTTTTAGTGGTAAACTACACTTTATTGAAGGAAATATGTCTTAGAGGCAATAATAAAATTATTATTTTATATTTTCTTGTTCATAATAAATGTTTATTATTCATGCTAGAAATTATATTGACCAAAAACAATACATGTGTAAATACATAGACAAACACTGAGTCCCTAGTGAGCCTCTACTTGATTAGCTCGTTGATCAAAGATGGTTAAGGTTGATGGTTAAGGTTTCCTAACCATGGACATGAATTGTCATTGATAACAGGATCGCATCATTAGGAGAACTAGATAATTCCCCCGCGCGATGCTGCGGGAATTCTTAGTCCTACGCACATGGTAATGCATAAATGGAATAACTTTGTTTGAATAATATGGATATGATCTTAAGATGATTTTTTTGGAATGAACACAATAATAGCAATATAATTATAAAGATAGCAAGTATAGTGTTATTCATAAGTAATCTCGTATCATTTACATTAATAATTTTGTACACTAAGAACTAGATTCTCAAATGGAGATGCGACAAAAGGAATTGCCATTTTGATATATCTTGTGCATGTTATTAGATCACACACTGAGATTGGACAGAGATCAGTAACATTGTGCATGTAGAATAAAGAGATGGAAGTTCACAATTGACAGATCCAATAAATATTGCAGCTGAGAGAAAATAGAAGAAGGTGCCTGCAATAAATAACGATGTAGATG